ACATACATACATACATACATACATACATACATACATACAAGAAGAGCATCTCAGCGTGACCTCAGCCGAAGTAAGGAGTACTTTCAGGAGGATTAATCAACTCAAGGTAACCGGCCCAGACAACATCCCTGGAAAAGTGTTGAAAGAATGTGCCGATAAGCTCTGCGAGGTGCTGGCAGACATCTTTAACACCTCACTTATCCTGGAGACAGTTCCCACCTCCCTGAAGACTGCCACCATCATCCCAGTCCCAAAAAGCTCTACAGTGACTGGTCTGAATGTCTATAGGCCAGTGGCCCTCACCCTGATAGTCACTAAATGCTTCGAAAAACTGGTCACAACTCATATCAAAACAACCATCAACATCAACGAGGACCCTCATCAGTATGCATACCATGAGAACCGATCAACAGAGGATGCCATCTCCTCTGTGGTTCACACTGCACTCAACCAACTGGAGCAGAAAGACTCTTACATCCGTATGCTCTTTGTGGACTTCACATCCGCCTTCAACACAATGATCCCCCAAACCCTGATGAACAAACTATTCACACTAGGACTAAGCCCCTCCATTTGCAACTGATCAAGAAACCTCATCAGAGACTCTACGTCCTCAGGCGGCTGAGACGAGCTGGTCTGGGAAGCTCAGTCCTCACCTCCTTCTACAGGTGTGCAGTGGAGAGCATCCCGTGCTTCAGCATCAACGTGTGGCATGGAGACTGCACAGCTGCAGAAAGAAAAGCTTTGCAGAGAGTGGTGAAGGCTGCACAGAAGACTGTTGGAGTCAGTCTCCCCACCATCACAGACATCTACACCTCCAGATGCAGGAAGAGGGCCACCTGCATTATGAAGGACCCCACTCACCCATCACACACACTTTTTGCCCCGCTCCCCTCAGGCAGGAGGTTGAGGAGCATTAAGTGTAGAACTACTAGACGGAGGAACAGCTTTTACCCTGAGGCTGTTAGACTCATGAATCTCTAACCAGTAAAATCATTGTGAAAAAAATCACATCTTGTTGCTGCTGATCTGTCTCATGTTGATGTGTTCAAGAGTGCTCATCTGCTGACACAGACTCACGTTCATGTTTGTGCTGATGTTCGACATAATGTTTATTATGCTATTAGTGCTTAGTGTATTTTAGTTTATGTTTTTCTTAGTTCATATCTTAAACCTTATTACTGTTTTTTCTTATACATTTTATTGTTGGATGTTACTGGGACCCTATGAACATAATTTTGCTCCACCACATGTACCACATGGGGTGCGAATGACAATAAAGAATCTCAGACTGTCTGACTCTGACATACATACATACATACATACATACATACATACATACGTACGTACGTACGCACACACACACACACACACACACACACACACGCACACACCCACACACTCACACACACACACACACACACACATACACACATACATGCATGCATGCATGCATGCATGTATGTATGTATGTATGTATGTATGTATGTATGTATGTATGTATG